TGTTGCTGGATGCAAGGGACTTGTTAATTTCGTTTGCATGTTTTGAGTTTCTCGTTTTGTTACGAGAGTTGAAGCAGAGTTGTAAAACTGGTCTGGGTGGCCTGGCCCGGCCTGGCCTAATTGGTGAGACAAGCTTGTGCCGGGCTTGACTGCCGGCCGATGGCTGTGCTGGCTGTTTTTTAAAGACTTGTTTTGAGATTGTGGTGGACATAAAGATGCTTGTTTATTGGTCCATTACTTCAATAGTACACTTTATCCATTGGAACGTTTCACATAACACTACAAACAAAACTAACCTTCAATACACTTGAGAAACTTTTGTTTTACAATATGCCGCTTTTTTATTATGCTTCTGTTTTAATATTTTACAATACATTTGTAAAACAACGTGTCACATTATGTTAGATACATTTTGTTATCTGTTTATTATCATATTTTGTTACACAAATTTGAATTGTGCCACTTGTACATAATACAGTGTACATAATGAGGTTCACACCCTCACATGGAGGGGGACTCACTTCCAATAAAATATAATATATGCGAAGTGGGTCCCCCTCAGTGTGAGGATGTGGACATTATTATATACAATGAATTATGTAAGTGTAGGCAAATGTCACAAATTTTATCGCATATTTTCACTATCATCGAGTTGACCTTCACCGTTACTTGTAAAATTAATTATTATATCACCACTGATGTTGCTGTCACACGATCCTCGTTATTGCGACAGACTATCACAAACAAACATCATATCTAAAATATGAAAGAGAACTGAAATATGGATTTGGTTCATGGGTAAGTGCAATTGTACAAGCAGTCTTCCACCCTATATCCTTGGAGGCATAACTTGCGATTTATCTCCTTCACCAAAGTCCGGTGCAGGGCAGGTGGGGGTCACTAAAGATGAGGTGCATCCTTTTAAAATATGAAAGAGAATATCTGCACCACCATTACCAATATGTAAAATAGCTTTCCTTGAATGAAAACCGGAAGTGTTTCTTTTTCAGTAGTAATGATTTAACAATTAATTACCGTTGAATAATAGAATGTTTAACCGTAATCATGACTACTAATTACTAAAAAAAATTATGATGTAAACTCACTTAACATTATCAAGGCGAAATTGTATTAATTTAAAATTTGATCTCGGAAACTCAAAGTTACGAGTATACAATAAACATGCAAATGATCATCTAATGGATTAAAAATAGAGGAAATTACAGGCAGCCACGTATTTAAAATACCATTTTCACAAA